TTGGATGTACCTTGTCAGGTTGCTGACCTGTGGTAGGTCAAAGTCAGGCCATGGTTTAAGCGAAGTCAATTTCAAGGGAATCGTTCAATCTGATGCAACAACGGAGTGTTAGGCAAAGTCACACATCTCTGAGATGCTTTCTTAGGCAACAGAAATATTCAGTGAGCAAATACGTTGACCTAAGGTCAGGTATTAAGGTCAGACCAAGGTCAAAAATAGCCTGTCACTCTACATCTTATATTATGCATATATATATATATATATATATATATATATATATATATATATATATATATATATATATACATGTATGCATATAGATAGATAGATAGATAGGTAGATAGATAGATATAGATATAGATATAGATAGATATAGATAGAGTATATATAGATAGATATAGATATAGATATAGATAGTAGATATAGAGAGAGATCGATATGATATAGCTATAGATATAATATAGAGAGAGAGAGAGAGGAGAGAGAGAGAGAGAGAGAGAGAGAGAGAGATATATATATAGATATATATAGAATATATAATATATAAATATTATATATATCATATATAGATATATATATATATATAGATAGATAGAGAGGAGAGAGAGAGAGAGAGAGAGAGAGAGAGAGAGAGAGATATATATTATATATATACTATTATATATATATATATATATATATATATAATATAAATACATGTATGGCATATAGAACTATGTTATATGAACTAAACTATGTTATAAATTTATATATATAAATTTATAACATAGTTTGTTTAATATATATTATATATATATATATATACTATATATATCTATATATATATATAGATATATAACATCATCAACTCTATGGCTTGCTGTGAGGTATAGTTTCTGGCACTCATTTCGAATTTATCGAGCAGGACACCCGTCGTTACATATCTTCCATGAACGTTCTTAGAGATCACAATAGGTCAATGACATTAAATGAGCCAGGTCAACATTTGTTTTAGAAACATACTGCCTTGGCTCTTTGTCGCTTATTCAAACGCAAAAGTCAGAGCAGTCTGTTATGATTTGGTCACCGTGACCTTCAACAGTCAAGCTTAAGGTAATTGACTTTAAATGAGCATGCACATTTTGCATTAGGAACAGTTATCTAGGTTCTGGGGACACTTTGAAGCAGACCTGGAATTTGAACTTGTTTGACCTTATTTGACCCGAAGATCATAATCTAGCGAAACTCAAACTTTTACCTAACTTAGTTCCCGTACAGGTCAACACACCCTGTAAACTTAGTGTCTCTAGCTCTTTTAGTTCCTGACGTCTTAGGAGGGTCAAAATAGCCCCCACCCGAGCGAAGGTCACCCATCCGGCCACCCGGGCGTTGCGTTAGCCATAAGGCGATTGCACTAAGTCAAACGACCATCAGGTACCACAGCACTCGCATCGGTTGAGCAGTTCAGAGTATTCCGCACCAGACAAATCAGCCGTAGTGAGGTGGCACCGGCCGCGAAGACCTCAATGCCACTGATCGCGCCACACGTCAGTAAAAGGAAAAATAGCAAACTGAAAAATTTGAGGCATTAAAAAGGTCAGTGTGGTCACTGACATAGTTTGTTTAAGACCAACGGAGAAAAATTAACAAACATCAACATTATTGCTGACATCAACGTTAACAGTAAGATGTAATACAGACAATACGCCGATGTCGAATTTCTCAACCACTCAACCTGAAGGCTGCAAATGTAGAGTATCCTGGGTATTGAAGCGTAAATCGGGACACATTGTCCGACAGCCATGATGGCCCACTTGGTATATGACACAGGTATATAGGTTACATATTGGTAGGGAACTAGGAACATAAATAAAAAATTGAATTATCAATCATACGGTAAGCAAATGGCATATCCGTGTAATTGTTATGGTAATTAGGCATATTTCACAGCGGACCGCCACTGAAGGAAGGCTGACCTGGCATGACCTAACTGAGGCACAGTGCTCATAAATGAATTTTTTGCGCAGTTAAATATGCATTGAGCTGTCCCTGAAGTTTGATCCGATGGTATTTTACAACAACGTCATGATATAAAGACACAGACTTAAGGACAGCATTATATCATGAGCCACGACGCCCTTGAACGTGGAGCAAATTGCGCCCGATGTCTAGGATTCTTTGGCTGATATTGCAGGACAACCGGAGCGTGGGCAAAAGCGGTGGCTCGAAGGGACAAACAGTCGCTCGAACAGCACTTGAAACAGCGTTACAGTTCTGGTCCCTCCAACTGCGAGCTCAAATGGAGGCTATTAGTCCACGGCTTCTGGCGCCCACCAATAGCGCTAGGCCTGTAATAGGCCTATTAGCGAGTATTTGACCACCAGCTGAGCGAACTATTCATGCAGCTAAACAAAACCCTGCAGGTGGCATAAGTGGATCAAGTTTTGAGCTTGTTGCCGAATTTTGCGTACCGATTGTCAGCCGTGAAATCACTGGAGGCGTGCCAAGATTGAGTGTAAAGTTAATGACTTATTACGATGCTAATGGTTTTCAAACCGCCAAACAGTGAGGATGAAGTTTCGGCAGCTGTGTTTAACAACCAATACCTTATTTTTGTTTTGTTCGCTTCTGTCATTCCTTCATCCCTGCATGTCTCGAGCAGATCTGCTATCTGTCTGCTAGCCTGAGGCGAAATTTCTATTCGAGCATATGCTGTCACTTGCTCATTAGACGAAAGCAAGATAACTGCAGCTATCAAACGATATGGCCTCTCATCCTGTATACGCACTGCCTAATCTCTGGTCCTAATCGGTTCGCTCTCATGAGTACAAATTATCCTGACTGGTGCAGCATATCTAGAGGTTTGAGCATTTTGTTCATGTTGATGCATTCATCATACTTTAACACGTGCCCGGGTGGCCGGCTAGATACCCTTCGCTCGGGTGGGGGTCAGTTTAACACCCTCCCATTGAGATCTCTGGAACTAAGAAAGCTAGAGCACCAAATTTACAGGGTGTGTCGACCTGCACGTGAACGCACTTAGGTCAGAGTTTTAGGTTCTTAGGTCATGACCTTTGGGTCAAAAAGGTCAAACACGGTCAAGTTCCAGGTTGGTCCTCCAAAGTGCCCCAGAACCTAGATCACCGTTCCTAAGCAAAAGGCTACATTCTCATTCAAGATAAGTGGCCTTGTTTGACCTTTTGAAGGTCAATGTGACCAAAATCGTACAAGATTGCTTTGACTTTTGCATTTGACTAAGCGACAGAGATTTACGCCAGGCAGTATGTTCCTAAAACAAAAATGTTGGCCTAGGTCATTTTAGGTCAAAGACCTATTCTGACCTCTAAAAAGTCCATGGAAGACGTATAATGCGTTTTTCTGTCTTCAATAAACTCGAAATGAGTACCAGAAACTATCCTATACAGCAAGCCCTAGAGCAACAAAACAGGTTGGCTTTGACCTTGGTGTGATCTTCATACCAAACCTTAGGTCAATTTAGTTTCTCATTCAACTGTTGTGTTCTCCTAAGAAAGCATCTCAGAGATGTATGGTTTCGTCTAACTCTCCATGTTGGATCAGGCTGAGGGATTCCCTAGAAATTGCCCTCGCTGAAACCATGGTCTGACTTTGACCTGCCATAGGTCAGCGACCTTACAAGGTACATCTAAATTTTGCAAATCGAACGATCCGCTGTTTCAACTGTCTACGACTATGCAAAATTTGGCGCGGCTGCGCCGCGCTGTTCGGAAACCATTCTGGAAAAACCTTTGGGGGTTCAATTTGACCCGCTCCCACCCGAGCGCGTGTTCTTCGTGATTAAGTTTGAACCGAGTGTTATCACATGAGTGAGACCATTGTTCAACAAAAGATGGTCTTTTGTTGACATTGAGTAAGTCTGTGTATACCTCTTACGGAGCTAATAGAAGAAATATAGCAAAATTAGTTCCATAACATTGATAACGCTTGGCGTGGTGTTTCGTGCACGATGTCGCATTATGTGTATGCACTTATACTTGCCAACATCATGAATGCCGCATTCCAATGCTCCGATTCACCGATTTTTGTGGCCCTTTTTCATGTGGCTGCTAATGCGTATTTGCTTTTATTGAGATGGGCATCTGTTTCCTTTTTTCCATGAAAATAAGCATATAAAAAGTACCCCCCACTTCTCACGTAAACTTGCCTTTGCAGCGCTGTAGCATTCCCGGGCGCACCGCATGCTGCGCGTCCTAGGGCACACCGCGTGCTGTGGCACCCTAGGGCACACCGCATGCTGTGGCATCCTAGGGCACACTGCATGCTGTGGCATCCTAGGACACACCGCATACTGCGGCGTCCTAGGGCACACCGCGTGCTGTGGCATCCTAGGGCACACTGCATGCTGTGGCATCCTAGGGCACACTGCAGGCTGTGGCATCCTAGGACACACCGCATACTGCGGCGTCCTAGGGCACACCGCGTGCTGTGGCATCCTAGGGCACACCGCATGCTGTGGCATCCTAGGGTACACTGCATGCTGTGGCATCCTAGGACATACCGCATGCTGTGGCATCCTAGGACACAACGCATGCCTTGACATCCTGGGACACACCGCATGCTGTGGCATCCTAGGACACACCGCATGCTGTGACATCCGAGGGCACACCGCACGCTGAGAATTTCTTGCCTCTCACTCCGAGGCCTATTTTGGAAAATTTAGTCCACTGTACACCAGGTTAAGGAACGGGGGCGTGGCTTCTGGCATATTTTGGGGAGAGTCCCATTGCAATCCCTTCCTATTTCCTCTTATCTTCAAGTTGGATTGGCATCAGAATATTTTGTAGCATTGGTATTTCGAACTTCGCGAATTGCTTCAGTGATATATCAGTGTATCGATGATCCAAGCCCAATGAAGTGCACTCGGGTAGGCTTCACTCAGTCAGGCTCGGTCGTACCCAGAATGCGTTAGAGATGAGGTGCGTTTTAGAGCCCCACACAGGAAAGAGACGTAACTTCCTCACATGTTATCTAAGTATACGTACATTTGGTGAGGATGTGTCCAAACTCCTTCTCAACGTCGTCGTCCTCCTCGGGCGGCGATGAGAGGTCATCGAAGTTCAGCAGGAACATGAGCAGCTCTCCGCCCTCGTTCGAGACGGGCGCGATCGTTTGGATGCAGAGAAATCGCGACCCTGCAACCGTACGCCATATTAGTTGTCATGGCCCACCTGAGACCACAAACCACATTAGCCAGCGCGGTCCACCCGAGACCACAAACTACATTTCCCGACGCGGTCTACCTGAGACCACACACCACATTAGTCGACACGGTCCACATGAGGCCACATACCACATTAGACGACACGGTCCACCTGAGACCACACACCACATTAGTCGACACGGTCCACATGAGGCCACATACCACATTAGCCGACACGGTCCACATGAGGCCATATACCACATTAGACGACACGGTCCACATGAGGCCACACACCACATCAGTCGACACGGTCCACCTGAGACCACACGCCACATCAGTCGACACGGTCCACCTGAGACCACACGCCACATTAGCTGACACGGTCCATCTGAGGCCGCACACCACATTAGTCGACGCCGTCCACCTGAGGCCACACACCACATTAGTCGACGCCGTCCACCTGAGGCCACACACCACATTAGTCGACGCCGTCCACATGAGACCACACCCCACATTAGCTGACACGGTCCACCTGAGACCACACACAACATTAGTAGACGCGGTCCATCTGAGGCCGCACGCCACATTAGCTGACACCGTCCACCTGAGGCCACACACCACATTAGTCGACGCGGTCCACCTGAGACCACATGCCACAGTAGCTGACCGGTGCACCTGAGACCACACGTTACATTAGCCGAGACGGTACACCTGAGACCACACTCCGGCAGAGCCATCAGTCGCGCAATGAGAACCCGAAACCTCACCACAGTATGAGGCTGTTGGCAGTCAAGGTGAGTCCGAAACGTGCGCAATGTGCTCGCAGGTATCAAGCAGCCGGCAGGGCCTAAACAGCTCGTCAGCGGTCACACCGGGCTTCAGACCGCGCGGCAGCATAACTAGCGCTAAATCGTGGTGTCTTGGAAGCTAAGCATACTGAGCTCATACCGCAGACAGGCCATCGGGTGGCCTTGGCACGTTGGGCACCACATGGCAGCGCTCGGCGGCAGGACAAAGCGATTCACAGTTTGCGCTCAGCGGACGCCGGTGGGGCCGGAAAAGCAGACTTCAGTCCTGGTAACAATGCTCATTCCGAAAACCCGCGATAGTAAAACCAATGCCGGCATCCCTGGATGCCGCGGGATTCCAACAGATTTATTGCATATTATGAATTCTAATTGTTCCATTACTGTACCAATTTTGAGTACACGATTAACCGGTGCCCGGCCCAGGGGTCTGAGCCAACCGGTGCCCGGCCCGGGGGTCTGAGCCAACCGGCGCCCGGCCCGGGGGTCTGAGGCAGCCGGCGCCCGGCCGAGGGGTCTGAGCCAACCGGCGCCCTGCCCGGGGGTCTGAGGCAACCGGCGCCCGACCCAGGGGTCTGAGGCAACTGGCGCCCGGCCCAGGGGTCTGAGGCAACTGGCGCCCGACCCAGGGGTCGGAGGCAACTGGCGCCCGGCCCAGGGGTCTGAGGCAACGGCGGGCGACCCGAGCAACTGGCGCCCGACCCAGGGGTCTGAGGCAACCGGCGCCCGACCCAGGGGTCTGAGCCAACCGGCGCCCGACCCAGGGGTCTGAGCCAACCGGCCCCGGCCCAGGGGTCTGAGGCAACCGGCGCCCGGCCCAGGGGTCTGAGGCAACCGGCGCCCGGCCCAGGGGTCTGAGGCAACTGGCGCCCGGCCCAGGGGTCTGAGGCAATTGGCGCCTAGCTCGCGGGTCTGAGGCAGCCGGTTCAGGCAAGTTAACTTCCCATGGGATCTCTAACTTTCAGAAGCCGTGTAAGAAAAACAAAGGCACAGTTTTGAAGGTCTCGTCGATCCATGAAGAAAGCACACTACGTCTTTTTGTATTAGGTCAAATGTAAGGTCACTAATGGTAATGAATCTTAAAAAACGGTCGTCCCGATAGATGTAGTTAAAACGCATATGAAGATATCAAGACGGATATTTAGGGCACGGAAATAAGCGTTAAGACTTGAGGAGTTCATTCCGATCATTTGTGGTCGTCCACAAGGGTCAGGTAGATCAGGCCACCGTTCAACATTGATCTACGAGTAACCTACAAGGACGGTACTTTTCACAATGCGCGTCTGACTAAATTATTACTCTAGGTGCAGCTGTGAGATAAAAACATTCGAGACACCAAAGTGCCCTTTCAGGCTGACCTAGAAGTCATTTCAGGTCAGCTTCGGTAGCCCAATTTATAAACCATCCAAATTAGAAAAGAAGCGCTAACCGGGATTATGTGACCAGTACAATGTTTATCCGGCCACCTAACCAAACGTGACCATAAGGCCGAGCGAGGCCTGAGAGCTGAATGCGGACCCGTCCGACGCTCCAGCCGATCGGCCCATATTGTTGACCGGATCTTTACGGAAAACGGTGTGTGTCGCCCGGCCAGGTGGGGTAAGCCGACGTTTTTTTCTCCGAAACGGCTATGACGGTGGTCTCTTCTACTAAAATGGGCCATCACGCCACAGGGGAACGCCTGCCCTCCGCCGGCCGATCAAGATTGATGGATGCGAAAGCCAGATCACCGGCGATGCAACATGCACATAGGAATGTTCAACTGACATGTTGTGGGAATGTTTGCCGTTTCGCTCCAAGAGCCCCGCCGCGCCGGCGCCGCCGTCACTCCAGCTGGCGTCAGAAGCGCTACGCCACGTGAGAACTGGGTCAGAGGGGACGCGCAGGGCCCGCCCGAGGCGAGAGCGGGCGGGCCTTGCGTCGTCGCTAGCGACGCAGCGTCCTAGATCCGGCCCAGGAGCACGTTCGGGACCGAACTCTGGAAGCAGCGCAGACCGACCTGGCAACACATTGGACGGAGGGGGCGAGGCGGCGAATCTGTTGGCCCATGCGCAAAAACGAAGGCGGGCCAACCGAGTTGGAATAATCACGGAAAATTACGGATGGTGCAAGAGGACAAGAGAGGAGTCTTTCGGGGGAGTCTCTCTGACCAAGTCAATGTGGAGAGTCCTGAGCGAGGCGCTGGAGGAGAGAGGTCTTTCGGGAAAGTCCGCAGGAGGCGCTGGAGAAGAGGGGAATCTTTCGGGAGAGTCCAGGGAAGGCGTTTGAGAATGGGGTCTCCCGGGGAGTTCCGAGGAGCGAGGAACGCGGAGGAGGGTGATGACAACCAGGCGGCGACATCTAGCGCTGCGGACAACGAGAAACCGTCGACAAAATACACGTATGAGTCAATAGGCTCCCCCCCCCCTTCCCTCATCAAGCCACGGACGGCTGGTGCTCCCGTGTCACCGGGCGGACGCGAGCGGAATCGCGTCCCCACCGGGCGGACGCGAGCCACGGCCACCTGTTCCCTCCTGTGTGGTTAGGGAAGGGGGGAGGGGTGGCACTGTCCATACGACCCTCCCGGACGAGCAATGTGCCTCTGGCCCACTCCCATATTAAGGAAGGAAGGAGCGTGACGGGTCATGTGGTTCGTCCATGTCTTAGTGATTTAGTAAATGAGGTAGCGGTCTGAGTTTTACATCGTTTAGTGTGGAAGCGAGGCTGGAGTGTTTCGGTCAGACGGCGACAGGACACTCGCGCCCGGCGCGGGCAGGCATGGTGACAGAGGCCGTCAACACGCGCTTCGGCGCGACGGGCCACCCGTTAGCCCGCGTCGAGGCTATCCTGATTTTGTCGTTGGAAGCGGTCTGGGGAGGCGCAGTGGCTCGCCATGGCCCTCATCTTTTCCGTGTCGCAGTCAGGCGCGGCGTACGGGGCAGGCCACCGTACCATACCTATAAAGGCTTTCCTTTCGCTGTGACGTTAGTCTGTTGGCTAGCTGGACGGTTTGGCTTTTCTCGTTCTCTTCATTTGTTTTCCGATTGCTCGGGGCGTCGGAACCTTTGCCGAACCCTCCCCAGCATACCCGCAATGATTTCAGCATGCGCGCGCTTCTTCCCTTTACTTTATCGCTGTCCCGGCCCGATTGATTATCTGATTTTGCATGGTGTTCGTACGCGTGTATTTCGTTCTTTTCTGTTTCTTTGTTTTTTTTCCTTTTGTTTAGTGGTCAACTGCCCCGTTTCAAGCGGGGCATTTTGCTGTGGTATCGACGGGGCCGACTTCCGCCGGACTGGCAGACTTCCGTCCCATATGTAACACGCCGTCCTCTCCCGAAAGTCGAATAATGTGGGAACCGTAGCCGAAGAACGACAGGCGCGGAATGTGCCTGAGCAGCACGGCTCTGTTATGGCAGGGTTGAGGGGCCAGACGACCGCAGTCCTGCTTTTACGCACAGGTACGTTTGTGGGTAGCGCGACTCCGTAAGGCGTGAACGCAGGTCAAGCCGGGCGTTCGTCGTCTGCCGAGGGGCTCTACCGTTCCATGGGGCGCGCTGTCTACCTCCAGGCATCTGAAGGACGCGCCGTGGGGCGCTGCCTTGCAAAGCTCGCTCCGGCAGGCCGGAGGCGATGGAACAGAAGCGCCGGAGGCGACGCCTCCGAGCTGGACGAGGCGCCGTCTAGGGCGCGTACGCGGCAGCGGCAAGCTGCGAGCGGTCGGCGTAGCGCAATGAATGGTGGGGCCGCCCATCATGGACGGAACGCGGGAAGTGTCGTCCAAACAGGCAGCCGTCACACTGGGGGTTGGGCGAGGGAACGAGCCGCCGTCCAGCTTCGGACACATGATGTCGGCCCAGTGGCTGCGTCGGTGCCGAGCTGACAAATCATCATGATATATTTTAAATATGGCTTTGGCATGTGATAAATAAATTTAAGCTTAACGAGGACTCACGCAGGCGAGCCAACTATAGTGCAAAGGCGTTGGATAGGGGGGGGGGGGGGGGGGTCGCATCCGTGTGCGAGCCAAGAATCAGTGGGATGACGCGGGTGCCAGCGGATGTGTATGCTTGGAGTGAGTGTGGTGGGGCGCCGAATGCGTGGAGTCTGCGTGGATTAGTTGAGGGTGAGGGGGCTCCCAGGGTTGCTATCCAGCGGCCCTTGCCAACGTTATCGCCAGTTGCGTGGGACCTTTGCCAGTTGGGCATACCATCAATGCATCCGGTTTTGTTTTTGCCCCATTTAAATATTACCATGAGCTGAAAAGGTGGGGTTGGGGTATCGTAGTTAAAGGCGCACAGCCATGCACGGGGAGACATCCGTTCATCGTGCCTGACCGGACCTACCATTCCGCCAATGCCCCTGTCACCCGCTTCATCCTAACTATGTGACTCACTTGAGTGTGTGTTGATGTCGGGTGTATCGGGGTCACAACGTGCCGAGTCGTGCGCTAACATCATCTGGCTCGTATGCTGACCAATGGGCTCCTCAATATAAATTCACCCTTGTGGGGAGTGGGGGGAGGCGTGACGGCAGCAGCCGACGGCGCACAAACATCCAGCGGCGTTCAGGCAGCAGCGTAGTGCACGAACGCCCACCACAAGAACTCCACACTAGCCTTTCCGCTACTGGAAAAATAGGTCATTGACTTTGGATGGCTTCATAGGAACTAGCATGTCCTCATGTGGCCTATTGTGACCCTGATATGCGTTAGAATGTTAAAACATGTCGGCAGAAGAGTATTCGATCTCTGCGTCCAGAATTACATATTAAACTCCCTATTTTGAGCTCAACATGCGTTTTGCTATAGATACCCATAGATGTAGGTCATGGCCTGGGCCAAGGTCGCCTGCTCTATGGTCATATTATGGTTACGCATGTAAGTTGGTACTCTTTTTCTGACGCGCAAACACCACAGCAACACAACATGCGTAACTTTTGCATTTTTACGAAAGATAGCAAAAATTGACCTGACTTCGGGTCACTGGCCTCGCGTTTTCCAAAAAAAAAATCAGAAATATGCTAACTGTAGGCACTATGATGTTCCATTTTGAGAAAAAAATTCAGCAATGGTGAATGGCCGACAAACAAGTTATGCATGACCAAAATTTAT